AGTTTAATCTCAGTCCAATTAGGTTATCTTCAACTGCCTAAAATATTTCCAGACAAGTTCAAAAGACCTTTAAACACATGTATTGTCTCACAACACTGTTTTCATGTCAGGTAAGCATACCAACTTCTGAAAGCTCCAAAAGTGATAGAATCAAACTTTGAAGTCATGGCAGAAAGGTATTTGCACATGATTTGGACCAGTTCCCTCATTTTACAGCAGGGCAAATGAAGTCAAAGTAACACTTGTATTTAGTAGCCCAATGGTGGGTGTACGGAGTTCATTTTCTTCTTTCTTACTACTCTAACAATGACTATATTGCCTGTGTTGGAAGTATTTCATGATGGGGAAGAAAAGGGGCAGAAGGACAAAACAACAAAGAGTCATCAAGATGATGTCTGCCATCCCGAGAACCACAACTGGGACCAACTCCCTAGCTCCCCATTTGTCATCTTTGTCATACTACGCTGCCTCCTGACCCAACCAGGGTCAAGGGAAGCCACCTCTACTGTGGTCCTCCTTCTAGCTGAGAGCCCAGAATTCTAGAAAACCCAACACCAGTCTGGTAAGAGATTTGCCAAGAGACATTGTTAACAGTACTCAGAAAACCAAACAAATTTGGAAAGCAATCTACTCTTAACACAAAAGAATTCCTGGTTATAATAAACATTGTGGGCCGGCACCGCAGCTCACTGGGCTAGTCTTCCGCCTGCGGCACCAGCACACCGAGTTCTAGTCCCGGTTGGGGCGCCAGATTCTGTCCCGGTTGCTCGTCTTCCAGTCCAGCTCTCTGCTGTGGCCCGGGAGTACAGTGGAGGATGGCCCAAGTGCTTGGGCCCTGCATCCACATGGGGGACCAGGAGAAGCACCTGGCTCCTGCCTTCGGATCAGCATGGTGTGCTGGCTGCAGTGCACCAGCTGCAGTGGCCACTGGAGGGTGAACCAACAGTAAAGGAGGGCCTTTGTCTGTCTCTCACTGTCCACTCTGCCCGTCAAAAAAAAAATTGTGAAAAATCTTTACCCCAGGTACAATAGTACCAACAAGTAGAATGAGACAGCACGGTGGCTATGAGAAGACAAGTCTCTGAGAATGAGCATGAAAGCCCAAAGGTCTGACTCATGATCTTTTCTTTCAGTTAACTGAACCAGCAGGTGTGGAGTTCCAACACAGTGGTGCTAGTGCTTTGTGCTTCCCGACATGGTGACCCCATTGGACACCAGAAAGGACACTGATAGGGCGGTGGTTCCCTTGACAGAATCATGGCTTTCCTGGGCAATTCCTAAGTAACCTGAGACAAGTTACTCATTCTACAGACTACTAGTTTTTCCATCTACAAAATAAGGTTTCCTAGAAGATCTGAATTATTAAAATCCCTTAATCCTAACACTTGACTTTTCCACAGCTTGAGAAATCTACAAATAATTATGAAATCGAAAACTCAATTCAAAAACACCAACTTCCCCATTACTTTGTGACACATGTTATGCTGGGATAATGCCAAAAGCATAAAAAAAAAAGTGCTTTGCAAATTTAGTGTAGCATCAAATTCTCCTGAGATTCTCTTAAAACTCTGACTCTGAGGATCCAGTCAAAACCTATTAAATTAAAGTATCTTGGGTCAGAGGGTCCTCAGAGGACTAGTTTAATGTACCCCAAAACAATTTTGAGTTCAGCTTGATCCTAAATATCATCCCTGCATTGGGCAACTCAATGAGCCAGGATCCTTGGGACCCTGAAATCTAAGAAGTGAATAAGCCTGAGTGTCTTAATGAACAGTCAAGGTTTTCTTTTAAAAAATCTTTAATGCAACCAATACATTTTTCATACATGCCTCCAATTCAAAATGTGAGTAGGAAGGATAAACTAATTGAGAAAGTCTGCTCAAGTCAATAAATAAATCATGCCTTAGGAAAGCATAACTCCGCAGAGTTATTATGAAAATAAAATGAATATTCTACAAAGCATAGGCTTGAGAAACCCACCCATTCCTACTCATATGCCACAAAGTCGCCATCCTAAATGGCATTTAAAAAGTCACAACAATGATAGTTAACCATGTATTGTAAATTCAAAATAGCTAGAAAATTTTGAACGTTTTACCATCAAGAAAAGATAACTGTTCGGGATGAAGGTTATACTAATTGTTCTTATTTGATTGTTACACAGTGTACACATGTTCTTCCTAAACATCACATTGCACTCCACAAATCTGTACAATTTTGTCAACTTAAACGGGTGTCATAACAATGCTGTGGAGAGAATCAGAAGTGTACCCAACTGCTCCATGTCTCCAGAGTTAACTTCTAAAGGTTAGCATCTGAATCAACACAACACAGTCCAAACAAAAATTTCACAGGGAATACTTCTGACAAGACAAACAAAGATGAAAGCTTATTTTTTAAAATATAAGTTTTAGTTGAGTTGTGTCTAAGAAAAGGTTTGGCTTCATGGCTACAAACTTGAATAAGTGATGACACCCAAGGACTTCCTTAGGAAATGCTTTGAATTGACCTTGGTTTCAAAAGTCGATCTTTACTGATGTCTTGAGTTTCATGTCAACAGTATGTAAGTTCTTGGTTTTCTCATCATTAGTCCAAGGCCAGCCTACAGCACCCAGAGTAGAAAAACTATGTGAACATCCCATGGTTCAAGTATAATCATGGTTTAAGACAAGTTAACTACATTCAAAATGAAAACCAAAACTTGAGCTGACACTGTGCAGTAAGTGTGCCTTCATTCTAATAGACTGAACATATTCTATGTTATTTAAAGCAAACAGCAAATATAAATGTATACCCCAAATACAAATTTGTCACAAGAAAGCAAGATCTATTTCCATTACTATTGGTCATTTCTCTAAAGCACTACAGAAACTGGTATGTAAGGCTTTTGTTTGTTTCCTGTATCAAATAAAAAGAGGGCCCTTGCTATAACTCAAAATGTCGAAATCAAGTTCTCACCAATCTGTAGGGAATTTTACCCTTCCAACCCAGCACCAAAGATTCTAGTAGAAAAGTGTTCAGATTGCATGAGCTTTAGGTTGCCCATTAACCTTTAATAACCCACAGATTTGTAATCCTCCAACATAAAATTGTTGGTATTGTCCTGTCTTAAGAAAGCAGCTCACTGTATCAATTTACTGCAGCCAACTAATAGCACCAACATGTATACATTTTATAATTTGTTTCCTCTCCAAGTATCACTGTCCCAAGTTAAAGATAAAAAGACAAATGTTCATCATGGATCACATGATGGGAAATGTAGTATTTAAGACATTTCAATCACTTTATCTAAATGCATCTTTACTATTATCTTCTGCCTGCCTTTAGAAAATAGATTGATTGATCTCAATGAAAAAATGAAGGCTACCGTAAGTTAAGTAACTAACTTAAGCTAACATTAATTGTTTTAACCCACGTTCCTACCAGCCTGGCACAGTTCTGCCAGCTGGCGGCAGATTGAGAAAGTATGAGAAAAAAATCTTTCCATTATCTGCTATGTTTCACTCATCACTTAGTCCCATTCATCTATTTTACTACAGGTTTATTAGCATCTCAGAGATAGGCTACCCAAGCATTGTCTTGCAAAGGAAGAAATTGCTGAATATTACACTTGAGGAAAGAGTAATTTGGGAGCTCTGTTTTCACTGGGCAAATAAAAATCTACCACATTGATCATACAGGATTAACACAGAGTCTCTGGAATGCACAGAAACAAGCAGAGAACTCCAATATTTACCAAAAGGACTGAGCATTAGCTCATTTCTTTATCAATACGTAATAGATATGTTATATTGTCACAAGCTTGCAAGCCATGAGAGGGCAGATAGTAAGCAATTATTTCTTCAAACTCAACCTGGGCAAAACTAAACTTATCTGATGTATTTCCTTCCTTTAAAATATATTCTTCCAAATGCCCCTAATTTGAATTAATAGCACCAATGTCTATTACCCAAGATTAAAAAAAAAAAAGCCTGGTCATCTCTCATCCTCTACTTGCCTCCTGAGTCCATCATCACTCAGTTTCCAAGGCATTTGTAATTCTTTAACTCTTCCCTCTGTTGGTCCCATTCAATTCTGAAGACATTTCCCAGCTAGCCTCCTGTCTTCTTCACCTTTCTCACTGGCACAGAAACACCTTCCGGAGAGCCTCCCCTCCACCTTGGTAACAATCCATATGGCACATAGGACAAGACTCAGGATCCCCAAGAGGTGCCGATATTAGAATTCCTGGCCCACACATTTTTCATGATTAAATTGCCTATCATTCAACACCATCAAGTCTAACTCCATCCAGCCTTTCTTCACAAAAATCTCAGATTAACTCCTTGGCAATTTCATACTGTGCTTAAATTAACCCATTCTGGTTGCTATCTACTGCCCCAGCTCTACACCGAAGCCACCTCATCTTCTGCAACGCCCTTCCCTCTCTGTTTTGCACACAGAACAATGTACACATCCTTTAAAACTGAGCCCAAACACAGCTCTTCCACGAGCCCAGCCTGACTTCTGAGGCTGAGAGGACCAGCCTTCTCCGATTACACAGCACAAGACTTGCGTCTGTCTTGGAAATTAACATTTAGACCCTTACAGTTATCTGTATACATCGTACATCTCCTGCCAACCCCAAGCACCTACGACCTACAGCATCCACCGAGATCTTACACCAACTGAGTTTCAAGAACTTTCTATTAACAAATTTTACGTGAAGAGCTTCACACTGAAGGAGATTACATCTCCAATTGCATTGCTTGGACAGCCTTTGGGTTTAAAGAAAACCAAGTGGTATATTTGTCAAGGACTCCACATCAAATGTTCACATATGATAAAACCTATCTTCTTTGAATTTTAGAACTAGATAGAGGATATAAAAAGAAAATATTCATTTATCGAGAAGACAGTTCAGGCAGAAAGCATTAGTCTTGTTTCATCCATCAGTGAACCCTGCCCGGAACAAAGATCCACACACAGCAACAAGCACAGGCTTGAACCAGAGGTCTTACTTTGCAGTAGACTATCATGTTTGGAGAACTCTCCTCTGGGTCAGCAATTCCCACGGCTCTTTGATCCCCAGATCCCTGAGCCATCCTGAGCGTCTTCACTCACCCTGCAAAATAAATGGATAGATCAGTTGAGTTGTGAAGGAGTTGTATCAAGAAATCCTTGAGATACCAAGAACTAAGTATCTTTCACCAATTACCTTGAAAACAAAACATGACATTTTCTTGTTTTTCCTCATTTAGAGGTATTAACTAAAGCTATTCCTATACATTGCCCCAATTCCAAAGCAACATTTTTTTTATTTTCAGCACAGATCCAGGTACCCTAGGAGTGAATAAGCCAATCTTTTTTTTTAAGGTTTATTTATTTTATTTGAAAGTCAGAGCTAAAGCCAGGAGCTTTTTCCACATCTCCCATGTGGGTGCAAGAACCGAAGTATTTGGGCCATCTTCTGCTGCTTTCCCAGGCACATTAGCAGGGAACTGAATCAGAAGCCAAACAGCTGAGACTCAAACTAGTGCCCACATGCATGCTGGCACTGCGGGTGGTAGCTTAACCTGCTGTGCCATAGCACCAGCCCCACATGCCTCCTGGACAAAGATGAAGCCAATCATATGGACACTGAGATGCTGATTTTTGTCTTAAAGTTCATTTTCTGATTCATTCTATGCCTTAAAATACGAACATTTTAGTAGGGAAACATAAATAAAGACCATTAAGATCATTATACAAGTTGAGTAGCCATTGTCCCAAAGGCTTGGACCCAGAAGGGTTTTAGATTTTGTATTTTTTTCAAATTTTTGAATATTTTCACATCCAAAATTAGGGACCTTGGGCACGAGAACCCACATCTTTTTTTTTTTAACTTTTATTTAGTAAATATAAATTTCCAAAGTACAGTTAATGGATTACAATGGCTTCCCTCCCCATAACTTCCCTCCCACTCGCACCCCTCCCACCTCCTGCTCCCTCTCCCATTCCATTCACATCAAGATTCATTTTCAATTATCTTTATATACAGAAGATCAATTTAGTATATATTAAGTAAAGATTATCAGTTTGCACCCACACAGAACAAAGTATAAAATACTGTTTCAGTACTAGTTGTAGCTTTAATTCACATTGGACAACTCATTAAGGACAGAGATCCTACATGAGGAGTAAGTACACAGTGACTCCTATTGTTGACTTAACAATTTGACACTCTTGTTTATGGCGTCAGTAATCTCCCTAGGCTCTAGTCATGGGTTGCCAAGGTTATGGAAGCCTTTTGGGTTCGCCGACTTTGATCTTATTCAGATGAGGTCATAGTCAAAGTGGAAGTTCTCTCCTCCCTTCAGACAAAGGTACCTCTCCTCCTTTGATGGCCCCGTTCTTTCCACTGGGATCTCACTCACAGAGGTCATTTAGGTCCTTCCCCCTCCCCCAGAGTGTCTTGGCTTTCCATGCCTAAAATACTCTCATGGGCTCTTCAGCCAGATCCAAATTCCTTAAGGGCTGATTCTGAGGCCAGAGTGCTGTTTAGGACACCTGCCATTCTATGAGTCTGCTGTGTATCCTGCTGGATCATTCTCTCCCTTTTTTATTCTGTCAGTTAGTATTAGCAGACACTAGTCTTGAACCCACATCTAAACACAAAACTCACTTATGCTTCATATAGATGTTATACAGCTAAGATAAAGGTAACCTTATACTTTTAATATTGTTCAGGAAACAGTATCAGAGTATACAGTTTTCAACATGTGATATATAAACACTCAAAGTTTCAGAATTTGGAGCATTTGGAGTTTTGAAATTTTGCAGTACAGATGTCTAACCCCATAATTTTAATAAAGCCCAAAAAATTCTTGGCAAGTATGTGGGGGAAATCAGAACCTTCATACATTGCCATAAGAGACATAAAATGGGGCTGTCCTTGTAGCAAACATTGCAGTGACTCCTCAAAAATTAAACAGAATTACTGTATGACCTAGCAATCCTACATCTACATATATACCCAAAGAACTAAAAACAAATATTCAAATATTTGCACACAAATGTTCTCAGCAGCACTGTTCGAGAGCCAAAAGGTAGCAACAACCCAAGTATCCATCAGTGGATGAATGGATAAACCAAATGTGTATCTCTGTAAAGAATATTAATCAGCCTTAAAAAGGACTCAAGTACTGATCCATGCTACAATGTGGATGAACCTTGGAAACATAACAGCAAGTGAAAGCAGCCAGACAGAACGTCACAGGTTACAGGTGCCTTTGTATAAAATATTCAGAATAGGCAAGTGCCGAGACAGGAAACAGACTGGTGGCTGCTTGCAGCTTGGGAGAGGATGGATCAGGGTGACTACAGCGTCTCCGTCAGGGACGATGAAAATATTTTCAAACTAAATAGAGGTAATGGCTGCAGATTGCTCTGAATGTATTAAATTGTCACTGGATTATATACTTTAAGAAGTTAATTTTTACATTATGTGAAATTCATCTACATTAAGATACCTGTAGTTAACATGACCTTTTCAAAAGCCTGAAAACGGAACAGAGAGATAGCAACAAGCATATGGAACTTTTGATAATTAAATTCAATTCTTGGTGTGACGCTGTGTTTACTACATGGCCTTGAGTTACATAACCTGTCAACTCCCTTTCTTAATCTCCCTTCAGTGTGAACATATGAGCACCTGCTGTATGCTAAGAACCATGCTGGGGCACATTCTTCTACACTGCTCTTGGCAGAACGGTAATTCCCTGGAATGCCTCACAGGAAAGGGTCAAATGGGCTGAGTGTGCAAGTATAAAATCCTATACAAATGTTAACACTAATCTGGGGTATTTGCCCAAAATGCATGGGTTATTTGCCAAACTTTTATAAATGCCAGACTCCACCCAAGGGGGGAGGCATTTTTGATTTAAAACAAAACTCAGGAAACATTTTATTATAGAGTAAGTTGATACCAAAGGTCATTTCATAAGAACAAATTGGATAGAAGGTAGGAGAGAAATTTGTCATTTGTACTAATAATTTAATTGCTCAAAATACCCTATTGGAATATTGTTGCCTGCTTTATCATTAATGAATTAGAATGTACTTTTAAATTAGATCGCATAAAGCGAGCTTCCTTCTATTCTGTGCCAACTGTAATGCCAACATTTCTATGAATATAGTACTATGAAGACAATTATTCTCATCAGAAGCTTTTCAAGTTAAATGGACATCACACTGTTTCATTTTTAAACAAATACTTATCTGCCTACTCTTTGCCTTCATGCAGAATATAACAGAGCATGAAAAATAAAAACTGAATCCATTTGTGCACGCTCATTTATCTATGTAATACATATCATCTGTGTAATAATGTAACAGAGCTATTTTGGGTTTCCATGCTTTAGTTTAAAATGAACACTTTCACTTTAATGAGCATATTCTCTTCTAATGAGGAAACTGTGTTATAACAGCAAGGTTGGAAATGACCTAGAAACAAATGTGTCAGCCCTCCCTTTGTCTTTCCCTGGACACCCTCTTCCACTAACAGCAGCAATTCTACATGTTCAAACACACTGATCTTCCAGGGTCTGAACTCTCAGCTGCAGAGCAAATGAGGCTAAGTCTCTGTGTTGGGAATTTTAGTCTTGCACTCAGGGAAAAAAGTTATGCTTGGCTCTTGTACCACCTTGCATTACTTTTAATTTCTATTTATTTGAGAAGCAGAGAGAAAGGTAGAGAGCAGAGTGCTATTCTATCCACTTGATCACTCCCCCCAAATACCTACAACTACCTCCAGCTGGGGCTGCATCAGGACCCAGAAACTCAATCCAGGTTTTCCCATGGGAGTAGCACAAAGCCAATCATTTGACCATGACTCCTGCTTCCCAGAGTCTGCACCGACAGGAAACAGGAGTCGGAGGTAAAGCTGGGCGTTGAACCCAGGCCCTCTAATATGTGCTGGAGACACCCTAGCCAGCACGGTAGACACCTGCCCCTAGCAACTCTTCTGAAACTCAGACAAGCCACTTCACTCTCCTGTATCTAGAAAGAAGCATTTCTAGAACAGCAATATAGCAACCTACTATGCCAACAAATGTTGGAACTACAGACAAAACCTACGTTGTTAAGGACCTTATAATTACATGCACTGACTGTAAAGCTAGGGTTCAGGAAATCAAAATACTAGATTTTCATTACAATAAGGTGCAAGATATTTCTTTTAAATAAAGTACAGTAGAAATGAATAAGATTTTTTTAAAATCTAGTGGTAGAATAAACTTCATTTTTACATATGGTGTGTACGTAGGCATAGTTAATAATGCAGGGAATTCTAATATTTGAAGAATGTGAATGTTTTTCCTCAAACTACAGAACCGCATTTCAACAGAGAGCAAGTGAATAACATTATCTTCCTAGGATGACTCACGGCAAACCAAAGAGGAAAACTAAAAATGTGTTCAGACCATGCATTTCATCATCGCCACGAGGAAGCTTCCTGGTTACCAGCTGGTCACCGGCATCGGACAGATCCACGCCTGAATCCTGGCACTGTGGCTACCAGCTGTGTGGTCTGGGATGTGCCACTTCACTGTGCCTGTTTTCCCTTCTCTTGTCGCCAACCTCAGGGCTGGCATAGCAGAAGCCCTTTGAACTGCGAGGCCTGGATTGCCCTCACCACTGTCAGAAGCAAGTCAAGCCGAGACGTCTCTGGATCTCAGTTGGCTATTAGGGGTAGAATCAGGCATCTGAGGACTTTGGTCTCCCAACTTTCCTTCAAAGATGCCCACCAGAAGGCCCCATGCCCCCTCTCTCCCATAATCAGTGCCTACATCCCAGGTCATCTCCTTTCCAGGAAGCAATTCCTGTAATATCACCACTCACCACTAGGTTCCAGATAGACTCACTCACCTTCTACTTTCCCAAGATTCCATGCTGGGCCCTGGGAATCAATAGTGATGAAATGGTTGCCTTGAGACTTTCAGAGCCCATTAGTGTTAACAGAAAAATTCTCCAATAGGGCAATATAATGTGTGGTGCTCAATTCCAACGGCTCAGAGCAAGAGGCAGGAACCACTAGCATGGGTATAGCAGGATCAATGAGTTTGAGGGGGGCAGAGTTTGCCATTC